ATTCCGGTGGAATGGGGTTCTCTGGCTCCCCCTGCTCAATACCCTCTGCATCACTGTTATCATCTACAATTGTCTTTTGTTCCCCTACGATTGGCTCTTCTTCTTCTTCTCATTTTGATTCTGGCATTCCTCCTCCTGTGGCATCATCTGTAGGAATGCTTCCTGGTGTAATATCAACAACACCATCGCTTGTGGATTCTTCACAAGTTGTATCTGAAGTATGTATCTGCCACGATCTACATTCTCGTGAATACTACGATCTCGGCTCCTGACAACTTTCTTTTTCACTGGCGTTCCCACAAACCTATAACCAAACTCTTCGTCTCCATAACCGAAACAAAAGTGCCAAAGGAACTGGACTTGTCATTCAACGCTTTGATCTCTGCTCCTTCGGAACATGGCATAAATGGCCTGCAGCCAAATTACCCTCAGGTGAGAGTTATTGAAATATTCTTACCTGTCCAGGGAAATATTTCTACCTGTCCAGACTTTCTCTGGGATATCAAAATCCAAAGGTGTTGAAGGTAGTCGGTTGATTAGGTAGACAGCAGTATTGACAGCTTCTCCCCAAAACGGCTTAGGTAAGTTGGCCATTTTGAGCATGGATCTGACTCTCTCAACAATGATGCGATTCATCCATTCAGCAACGCCATTGTGTTGAGGCATGCCAGGTACTGTCTTTTCATGCCTGATACTGTGCTGACTACAATAATCTCTAAACTACTTAGAGATATATTCGCCACCATTATCCATGCGCAAACACTTCAATGCCACTCCAGTCTCCCTTTCCACCATCGCGTGAAATTGCTGAAAGTGCTTGGATACTTAGTCTTTTGTGCGCAACAAATATATCAATATTTTTCGTGAGAAATCATCAATGAAGGTTAGAAAATATCTACTTCCTCCAAGTGATTCTACCTCCATGGGACCACATACGTCAGGAGTGTAAACCTTAACTCCAACTTGTTGTCTCTCCGTCTAGAGCTTTTCTAAATGAACACGGATGTGCTTCCAAATAAAAAACAATGATTCACAAGGGTTTATATTTACCTTGTGCTAATGGGATGAGGGACTTTTCTTAGACCAAACATTCAACCCTTTCTCACTATAACGTGCGCCATGCCGCCTATGCCACAAATTTGGTGAAAGCATCATCGTGCAACTGTATTCAGTTGCCACCCGCACATAATTTTGCGTGAAAGTCTATACAGCGAGGCAACCATAATTTTCCCTTCTCGCCACCACCAAAGATTCCTTTGGTGATCTTTCCTATATACCGTCCACCTATTATGATGGTTGATAGCCTTCCCTTGATCCTAGTACCGCTCACATGTACAACAGGTCTCACCGAAAGATCAAGAATATGTCTCACATTTTAGTGTAATGGTGCACCCTGAAACAACTTGTCTTATGTTAGACATTTATCGATTCCCACATGCGAGGACTCACTATTATTTCCCATTCAATAGTGCAAAAAATCTCCTTGCTTTATAAGGTGGGAAAAGTATTCCCTTTTTGGAACCAATTGGTATGAAGCACCCAAGAGTTCTACTATCCACTTGGGTATCTGCATTTCCAACATGACAACAACTGTATCCATGAGTGGTGACTAAAGTCACCGCACCATCTGTCTGTCTGAGGACTGGTCAGCAGATGTATTTTTGTCATTCTTGTCATTCTCCTGTCTTCGGTTTGCATACTCCTGTTTGAGTAAATGACAATTTCTTTTGAGATGACCCTCCTTACCGCAATGGTAACATTTTCTCATCTCTCTAGACTTGGATTTACCACCTGACTTTACATGCCCTCGACCTCTACTCTTGCTCTGGCCCCTATTTCTGTGACAAAGGCTTGTGAACTGGTACTTGCAACATCTCTTCTTCGTAGTTCTTCATTGAGTAGTCTATTCTTTACCATAGACATTGTTACCACACCATTTGGAGCTAAATTACTTAATGATACCACAAACGTATCCCAACTATCCGGTAGAGATCCCAACAGTAGGCATGTTTGCATCTCGTCATCTAATGACATACCGCTAACTGCTAACTCAGTTTCAAAATCATTCAGGTGTTGTGTAATTGAGGTGTTGTGTAATTGGTAATTGATCATCCCTCTAACAGCTTCAAGTTCATGACTTTACGAATCATTAAGACTTTTCCTTGAGCATTCTTAGCCTCGTACATATTCTCTAATTTCTTTCAGAGAACTTAGGGATATTTTTCATTTCTCACGTGGTTGTACAGGCTAGCATCTATCCATTGGCGTATTGTACCCAATGTCTGCTTTTTTAATTTCTCCCACTGCCTTTCTTTTTTTGCCTTTGTTTCATTTCTTCTGGCTTTGCACTATCACCTTCAATTGGATCGTACAGATCTTTGCAATTGAGGTAGTCCTCCATTCTAGATTTCCACATTAAATAATTCGAATCCATCAATTTGATCATTGCCCCGTCGTTAGTCATGTCAAATTCTGTATCTGACAAAAAAATTCACTATTCACATGAATAGTAACTTTTTAGAAAATTGACAGAATTTACCAACCAAAGGCTCTGATACCAATTGTTAGGATTATAACTTATCTCGAGTGGGGCCTGCAGAAAAATATCGATGGTAAAAGTAAAATTAATAACTTTATGGATAATGAGAGCTGACCGAAAGGATTACTACAAGCAAAATTAATTATATATCTACGGAACGATCGAATTCACCAGAAATAATAACCACGGTAAAAATTAAATAATTACCGTAAATGCCAGATGAAAAATAAGGATACCAAGTTTTACGTGGTTCATCCTTCAACTGTTATGGGCTACGTCCACGGGACAAAAACTCCGAATAATTCTTCCACTAAAAAAAGTAGGTACAAAAGAGATTACAAAAATAGTTATACTGTAAGTGTTTCCCAAAAAAAAAAGCACCCTAAAAATTATAAATCCTCACTATTTTCTCTATTTTCCAATTTTAGGAACCCTTTTCTAAAATTCTTTACACTTAATTATGTATTTCTAATCTTTTGTTTTTGTACATTTAAATGAACTTCGTCTGTCTCCTTTTATAGGCAGTTTAGCGAATGAGTCGTGTATAACTCATTTACGTCTTTATGCTTTGTCAAAGAAGATTGCCAACTTTTCTTCTTTTTCAAATAACATGTTTTTCTCTTTCTTTCGCAGCCTTCATTGATTGCACTTTTCTTCTTTTTCAAATAACATGTTTTTCTCTTTCTTTCGCAGCCTTCATTGATTGCCCCAAACAAAACGTGTTTGTTGCTTTTTTTTTTTTTCTTTCTTCAAATTTATATGGGTCTCACATGTTGAAGGGATCCCACAACACAGATTCCTCAGTAAATAAATTAAAATCATCTCTTAAGAGGAGCAGATCAGTAGCGATCTTAAGATGGAGAGAGGTTGAGTTGCCGTTTGAGTTCATGTTTGCAGCATTAGAGAATGGGTTAGCATGAAAAACATATTATCTTGACTCTTGAAGACCTTTCAACCAATTTCGAAGATTCGTGGAAGATATTTTCCTCTTTGGCCTGCATAATGGGTTTGTAATTTAGGATTAAGAAGGAAACGAGCAGGAGAGAGAATATAGAGTACACGTATTAATTGTCTAGGTGAAGGGAGAGAAAAATGATTTTGACACGTCATAGCTAGCTGAGGTGATCAAAAATATAATTTTTAATTAACTCTAGCTAGCCATGTGATTTGCCCAACCACTTTTCCGACCAATGACCATTATGTTACAATTATGCAAAATGAGTCGGTCTTAAAAGACCAATTTAAGATAATGGTCCGTAAAGACCATTAGTTGACTATTTGAAAACCTTAGGAACTAAGTAATTTTTTTTTTTTTTTTAACCAGAAAGTGTAGGCCCCTAAGTTCGGTAGAGTATAAAAATTTTTTACCCTTTCACCAACATGCAACTAACTAATTAGTTTAAACTATAGGCATTAAATAGTAATTCTTCATAAAAAAATTTCTTCAAAAAACAAAAATGCACGTGACAGAAGGAAACACCAAAACCTTGAGATTTGTGATGTTGATTTATTCTGTTCACAATCACATGGCTTTGTTTGGATAATGTATTTGTTATTTATTTATTTATTTATTATTATAGTTTTGTATTAAAGGAAAAATATAGGAAAGGAAATGAACTATTCTTCTGACTTTGGCCATGTGATGAGTTTGTGTTATTTGGTAGGGAAGGGAAAGTTTGTGTATTGTATCATTCAACCTTTTACTTCTTCTTCTTCAGTCTTCTCTTCTTCTTTCAACGCATGTGACTCTCTCCAGCCTCAATTATATCAATATGATTAATGCCTCTACTCTCAGCCACAAAATCATATTCATGTCTCCTTTTAAATGGATAATTACAAGCTCCCTTCCAATTTTATCCAATAAGGCTCAGTTTGCTACTTTGACCTGTCCAATTTGTTTAAAAATAAAATTTTTTTATTTAATTATTATCAATTTCCCACCAAGTAAACCCAAAAAAAAAAAAAAAAAAATAATCTAATTCTTTCCACCCAGAATATTAAAATTTTGATTTAAGTAAAAAATAATTACACAAAATATAAATATTTTTATAAATCATTTTTTGATTCTATAATTTTTTTAAATCAAATCTTTTGTTTAATTATTTTTTAAATATGAAAGAGACGATGTTCTATCATTTTCCTTATAATTATTTTTTTTTTTTGTATTTTAAGTAATAAACCATTATTCTGTTATTTATGGTTTAAAATTGAGCCTTTTTGTTTGCATGATAGTACAAAATTAGTGTGATAATTATGCAAAGAGTGAGACTTATTTCCTTTTCTTCATTTATTCATATTATTAATATTTAATAGTTTGATAGTATTTTATGCTGCTAGTTTCATATACCATATTAAATTATTTGTTTATTTTTTTTAAAATTTTCTCCTTTTTTTTTTCCTTTATTATACTCTTATTTTTGTGAAAAAGTTTCTTACAATATATATATACATATACGAGTCCCTTAGTACCTCCTTAGAACTCTCCTCCATACACCCTCGCACACCTACCTCTCTCTCTCACTACAATCTTTTATCCTGAAACTGCTAAACCCAACATGGAGAAGCAACAGATTTTCAAGTTCCTCCTATGGTTATCTCTTTCATGTTTCACTCTTCACCTCGGTACTCATCACTCACTCTCTAGCGCTAAATTAAGCTTCATAAATACACACAGAAGATCGTTAAATTACATATTTTTTTTTTTTTTTTTTTTTTTTTTTTTTTTTTTTTTTTGCTTTTTTTTTTTTTTTTTTTTTTTTTTTTTTTGCAGGATTTGGTGCAAAGTGTTCAAGCAATGGTCCAACCATCCAACAGACTCAGGTGGGTTATGGTTTGCCTCCAAAATATATGGTGGAAGTCTCCAACAGTTGTCCTATGTGTCCTGTCATCAATATTCACCTGAAATGTGGAAGCTTTCCTCAAGCTCTTGTCAATCCTAAATTTCTCAAAGTCTTAGCTTTTGATGACTGTGTCATAAATGGAGGATTGCCTTTGGCTCCTCTGCAAAAGTTTTCTTTCAATTACACCCATCACAAGTATATCTTGCACCCAGCTTCTTGGTACTTCCAATGTGAATGATAATCATCTTATATACATATATAATAATAATATTTCCTTTTCTCTTTTAGGATTTTTCTTGAGTTTGGGCTTATTGAGTTTCTAATAGTTGTTATCATTTCTTTTCTTCTTCAATTGTAAGAGAAAATTATATTATCAATGTTGTAAGAGAAATTTCTGTTATCAATATATATTTATTTTTGTTATTTTAGTATCGTAAATGGAAAAGTACAGGCTTTCATAATAAAGGAAAACAAGGAAAATTTATAATTTTTTTTTTTTCATTCACCCATTGCTGATGCTAATGTTATATTAACAACTAGTTAATCACCCACAAAATTGTGGGAGTTCAATGTAGGCTTAGGGTTTGTTTCTCAAAATTAGCTACCAAACCTCAAAATTAGCCATTTTAGCACCCGTTAACTATCATAATAGTATTTAGGTGTTTGAATATTTGAAAATTGTTTAATAGTTTTTCACAAAACGCTAAGAGCTAAACTTTACAGGGGTTAACCTTACTTTAACTTATAAAAACTAATCCAAATGCTATATTACTAAGGCCTGTTTTGCAATTTAGTTGTTCTCGTAGTTGTTAATTGTTAGTTGTTTTACTAGTGGATAACCGTTAGATATTAGCTATTAGTGGTGAGCGGTTTAGAATAAAGTGTTTCATATAAATAACTTTTTGATCTGTTTAATATAAAATGACAAGAAGGTATCAAAGCGAGAACAATATAAAGGCAAGTGATAGGTATAAGTGTCATAAAAATATTATAAAACGCTAAATGTTAATGAAGATAACGTTTTATGAAATACTTTTCAAACTCTAAACGGTAGGATACATATTATATTACCGAACGCAATAGTTAATTAAGATAGTATTTTGACTAAATAAAAACCCTAAACACTACTTCAAGCATTGCTGCTACCAAACAAAGTCTAAATACTGTAATCAAAATGCTAAAAACTATTTAAAAACTGTTACCGAACACGGCCTTAATATAAATATTTTAAATTTTTATCCTGGTATTACCATTATATATTTAATGCTCTTTAAGCATCAAACTATTAGTAAAGACCACTTTCAAAGAAACCATTAGCAACTAAATTAGTCATAAATAATTGAGAATGAGCTAATGGGTAAGCATTGAATTAGTTAATGGCATGGTTTTAAAACCCAGCTTGCCCCAACTGGTTCAATCAGTAAAACTGAAAATTGGCATTTTGACCCTTAATCCTCTGTTTGCACTGGACCGCGAACCGGTTCAGTCTGAAAGCTTTGGTTAGCGTGCGTGTTCTTTGGCTTTCTTTAAGATATTAAAAATTCCTAAATAATAAATGGAAAAAAAAACAAGACAGAAAACGCCAAAATTTTAAAATTAATAAAGAGTTTATATTACATTCTCCCATTAAAAATGCAATGGGAGAAAAGAAAAATTATTGAAGAGAGAGAAAAATAGAATGAAGAAGCAACTTGGCAATGTTTAACAAATAAAAGAAAGCCACGTGGCATTAAAATGGCCTTTAGTGTATGGATACATTCATATATTTGTTTTTGTAAAATAAATTGCAAGAAAATATTTTTCATAACTTTTTGTTGTTTGAGGCGCTCAGAAAAATAAGTCAACAGAAAATATTTTCCTGATCAAATGAAAATTAAATTATTTTTTAAGGAAAACAACTTTCCATTTTTTAGAAAGCAAAACATTTTTCGGATATTGACAAACTTTATAAATCTATATTTTTTAATTTATTAATCATCATAGTCACTAATACCGGTCACCATTTAGCATTGACCACTAGCACCGGCAGCTTTCATAATATATGTATATATATATTTGCATTCTTTTCATATTTAACAATAAAATTTTTAAAGTATAAAATTTCTATTATTATTAATATTTTTTTATGATCTTATGAGATAAAAACTTTAATATTTTGAACTAATTTTTAATATTACAACCAAACAACGAAAAATAAGTCATTTACAAAATATTTTTAAGGAAAATATTTTTCATGAAAATATTTTTCAACAAGTTATTTTACGGAAATAAATGAAGTCTAAATGGATCAAAAATGACTTTTTGGTTATAACAGACTATTTCTGACTATTTATTAAAAAAATAATAAAACAGTAATTAATTTTTTAAAAAACCATTCATTAATTGATTTGGTATATAGATAATTTGCATAGACTGAGCTGTAAGCAAATCTTATCGCTTTTAATTTTAGCTTGATGTATAAAATTTGTCTCCACGGTATATGAAACTATATTCTACGCACCAAACCAATTAAAAGATTTTTTATAATATATACATATAGATTTATATATGTGTTTTCATAATCCAAGATCTTGTAGAAACTTATTTTTAGTCACTGAAACATGGTTTGTTTGTAATTTTAATACTAAATCTCGAATAGTTTCAAAGAGAGACATTTCCAAATCCAAGTCATCATCAAGACACCATACATTAGCTCTCGAGTGCTAACAATAAGGGAGTTGGTGACGCAAATTTATTCATTGCCTTCATAATAGAAGGTTTAGAAGGTTTAGAAGGTTACTACCATGGAAGCTACAGAGGCTTCAGGCTATGTTTGGATGGAAGAAAAATATGGGAGGGAAACAAATTATAATAAAATGCTATTTTCTCTGTAAATAACTGAACAAAAATAAAACTGCAATCAATTCGATTTTAACCAATCTTTGCTCATATCTACCTCAAATTGACTTGGCCGAGAATGGAAATTAAACACCGAGTCAATCAAAATTATAAATAAATAATAGTTTACATAGCAAAACGTTGAAAAAAAAAAAAAAAAAAAAAACAATCAAAATTATATCAATACAATAATAGTTTACTTAGAACACAGTTGAAAAAAAAAAAAAAAAAAGCCTCCAGGACCAACTAGTTCAAAAAAGAAAGAACAAAAAAAAAAAAAAAAAAAAAAGCCTCCAGGACCAACTAGTCAAAAAAGAAAGAACAAATTGGATGGATCATTTCAAGCAAACTGTTCACATAATTAAAAATCAAACTAAATTCGATTATTATAATATTCAACTCCGGAGACTCACAAACCTAATTGAATATTTAAGTTTTCTGCAACTTCAAATATGTTTTATACTACATAAATATAAAACTAATAGTTTACTAATTTAAGCTCCAACTTGAGCTTGTTCGAGCTTATCATAAGTTATTCAAATTTTATTTTAATATTCATAAAATAGTAATTTTTTTAAAAATTACAATCAACTGAGTTGAATCGAGTCGACTTGAAAATTCATATATTTCAAGTATCCATTAAAGTGAGCTCGACCTCGAAACTTAAACTTCAATGAAGTTCGATTAGAGTTTCAAACTTCATGTTTTCCAATCAAGTCGAATTCAAGCTGAGCACTTTATCGACTTGACTTGGCTCGATCACAGCCGCAGGTAAAAGTCTAGTGGTGCAAAACAGAAGCAACAACCTAATATTCACATTTCCGCTATAAATTATGATGGGGAAGAACTAAAGAATGGTACATAAGCATGTGCATAATAACCCATTAGTAGACTAGGTCACAAACTTCAGTTTTTGAAAAAAATTACAGGACGGACAGGCTGAGACTTCAAAAATTTTGGCATTTTCAAATCCAAGCCCGACCCATGAACTGGTATGAGATAATCATAAACATATAATTCCTAAAAAAGCAAAAATAAAGTCATATTTCACACTTCAATTGATCCTGTAAATTTCAAAACAAACAAAACTTCCTATCATGTTTCGCTTGCTGTTTCAAACCTTCTTACCTAAATCTCTTCTTTTGAGCTGCAAACTATATGTAGCAGCGACAATTTATAATAGAATGGTATTGTGTCCCAATATATAAACATCAGATAACTATAGCTACAAGAAAGTGGGAAAAATAAGGACTAAAAGAGTTGAATCTCATTAAAAAAATGCGAAATATTTTTTTTTTCTGTTTTGAATTTTAGCACACATTAGAGGATGACTTTTGGTATAAAAGTAAAGTTACATAACTTATGACCCAGAGGCCCTGGGTTCAAGTTACGGAAACAGCCTGTGTTCAAGCTACAAAAACAGCCTCTATAAAAGGTCAGGGCAAGGCTATGTACATCACCCCTTCTCAGAGTCCACAAAATGTGGGATGATTCATGAATTAGGTTACCCTAGAAATTTTAGCACACATTGAAAACTTGACCAGTATAGAACCTTTTAAAATCTACAAGAAGAACTGTAGAGACTAACATACGAGAAAATAACAAGCAATTGCTTTGAATAAGAACTTACCAACTATCTTCCATTCTGTTTCGCAAAACTGTAAGATGAATGTCAGCACATTAGTGTTTTCTAATCCGTGCTTCACATTTTCTTGAACCTGTCAAGTTACCTAGAACTACATGTTCTCGTACTAACTGTTTAAACAGATATGTGCCCTAAATCAGTCATATCCAATTAGACTTCTGCATGGACGAGGTGGAATTCTAAATTGGTATAAGAATAGACATTGTTCAGCCTGAAAACTTACATGTGCACTTATGCATTGTAAGCATCAAAATTCCATCTAAATACACTGATTTTATAGCAGTACTGGAGAACCTAACCCTTGTAAGCAAAAAGAGTCTATGTACACCCAAACCTGCTGAAGGCCCCTATAAATTTCCACAATTCACTATGGGAAGAAAATATTAACCCAAAGTGAATGTCAGGTTAAGAATATAGTATCTGCTGTTCAATGTATGTTTCATTTCTAATATTTGATCTCTTTATCTTAGTATTGACCATTGCTATTCTGTGCTGGTTGTAGCAATTTAGTAAACTAAAATATGCAGCAGCGTACTGATTAACAGCAAAATTATACTCCACTGTGCATTCAAACTGCAAGCAGAAGGAATAGAGTGTGAACCTACTAAATGTACTGTTCCTGTCCGTTCATCCTGCACTTTGATACTTGATGAGCCTGAAATCAAGCACGGAAAAGTCAGCATAAATAGAAAACTACTTTAAATTGACATTGATTTTCACACATTCAGTTTAAAGTCAAATATGTAGCATAGGTTCCCAATTTCTGAGGATTTAAAATGAAAAAAAGAGCAACCAAAATTTTTTAACTTTTGACAGAAGTTTAGCAAATACAATCAGCAACAATGTAGTAAAAACATAGAAGAAAGAAAAAAAAAAAAAAACCAGAGAAAAAGGACAACCACCACAGATTTCTTTCAACTCAAGAAGCTTGACAAGAGAAGTTTTTTATGGTTTCTTTATGAACAATGGATCTTTACATTCATATTACATAAAAATCTATATAATAACATAAGATATTTGGCTACAATTTCTGAACAAATTAGTAAAGTTTAATTTTTGATGACAACACGAAGGGATGGTGTGTGCGCTTCTTTGTGGAACTTTAGGCATGCCTTCGATTTCCACCCACCCCCAATCAAAGAAGACATGTCTAACATAACACAAAGAAGAACCAGAAAGTCATCTAATTGAAAAACAACAAAAGCATGATGTGAACCAGTAAACAAAGGCGTTGAGAAATAACTTTTAGACTCACAATTGTACTCGGTCCATCCAATGGCCTGACGTTCGAGATCATACAAAACTAGCTTGTTTGAAAGTACTAAATCTGCAGAAGAAAACAGATGCAGAATAGAGATTAAAAGAATCACATAACATATTGTTTATTCATCAATTGATAATCATTTACTAATGACATCACCCTATAGACACCAATTCCAGCTAGTTGTCCATTAGCATTCGAGATTTGCTTCATTAAGTCATATATCATGACAATTAGCAAAGCAATCAGACAACATAGTAAACCCAATTTTCAAAATCTATAAGCCTTCTTTTTTACCCTTTTTTGGCTTTTTCTTTTTTCCTTTTTTTGATATGGGATAGATTCAATGAATCAACAAACCAACCATGTACAGTTAACTATAAACATCAGATATTTAAAGGATCAAATTAGATAAATTATAGGCTTAACATGAAATACTTTTGTTTAACTGGTTCAGATTTTAGGCCGAATGCATTAAAAGTCTCCTAAATGAACACCATGGCGACAATTTTGTTCTAGAAAATACAAATATTGCATGAGGAAACCTCAATGATCTAAACAAGCATAACATCAACATGTACAAGGTTTTGCACATAATAGTCTTCTAAGAGATAAAACCTTTAAATGAACTATATAAAGGACATAAAAAAATATTATATTTTTACTAAAATATCACTTTCCAAAATCACCTTATAATCATGACACAAAACCTGCTTCACTATAGGCAATAAAGTTAATAAGTTAAAAAGTTAATCCAGTGAAGACTTTGTTTCTTTTTTGAATTTGTTTTTTCTATCAAATATCATCTTAGAGAGTTGCATAATCATACTTATATTATTTTAGTTTAAACACTAAATTAATTTAACAACATTATAGTATTAGTAGTAGTAATTATTAGTAATGTTAATTAATGATTATAGGTTGACTTTTCAGGAGTAACTTGTGTTTCCTTAACAATAATTTTTTTTTTTTATATTTTACAATGAGACATTTTATCAATAACCATAATACATCTAGCAAATTATACTTTTCTATAACATAATTTGTTATCTATCAATAATATATAATCTCATCTAAATCCATAACCTACCTACCTAACTATAATATACTAAAACAGATATGGTTGAAATATAAAATTTTAAAAATGCTAATTAATATAAATATATTAGATTTTTGCAATAATACAACATTATGGATTATGTAATAAAAGAAAAATATAATAAAACATAATAGAACTAATTAATATGTGTTAATTCCTGAGTGTTTTAGAGAAACAATTTATTCTATTTCTCATACATGATACATCAGTCTTTGTGATAGCAAGTATTTATGTACATGTACAATCCTAGAATATGAATTATTAATATAACAAAACCAATTAAGAATTTATGTTCAAATCATATTTATAAACTCTTAATTCATCAAAATTATTCTAGGACAATTGAAGTTAATACAGCCGCATATCCATATGGATTCATAGCCTATTTATATATTCCTAAATGCAAACTTCAAGTTGAATCTATATAATTCTTAACCCTAATTACACTCTTATTTCTTTTTACTGCAAACATATATCTCTCAAAAAGAAATTCATAGGGCTTGCCCATGTGCTATACTTTCACTATGATAGAAGTTGATAATTGTGGGATTAAATAAGAGAAAAAGCAAGAAATGGAAGTTTTCTTTTGAATTTAGATCTTATCAACATTAGAAAATTAGGTTTATGACACACAATATGATTTTTTAGGTTTACTTTACTTCAAAATATACAAACTAGATCAATTATCTAATATTTTATATGTTTAATTAGCTTTAATATCTAATATTTAAACACATGGTAAGTATTCATGTCAACCATGTGCAACACATGTATGGAATTAATTAATACCTCCTAAGAGAGTCATGTTCCTTCTATCCCTTGATTGCATTCCACTGTTTTGCCATCCAATACACCATAAACCTTCCTGCAGAAGTCCAAATCAGCAAATGAGTTCTTGTACAATTTATGTAATTGGTTGGCAGTGACATTACTACGAACCACAGTATTTGAAATTTTTGCCAATGGGTTGACATATGCAACAAACACAAAACTCTGACATATATCAGTCAGCAATATACAAAATCTTTATGGTTCAAATATATTAAACTCCAGTCTCTCCAAACCCAGAATCCAAAAGCTCAAGATTCTAAATTCCAACACATAGTTACCTGAAACATAACGTGTTTCAGTTCATGGTACAGATACTGATACAGAATATGCCACTTAATTTAATGTGTAGTATACTGGGGGGTAAGCTTAATTGGTATGCTAATTTGGTATTGTGGTATGCAATTTATAATTATTAGATCCATCAAGCCTTTCATTGGTTAAAATTTTAGACCTAGAAGCTTTACATAATTTTTTTTTTTTAGTTTAGAATATCTAAAAAAGTGAATACACATAACAACTGTGCGATTTGACTCATATAGATCTGGACTGTGAAAGTACTGCAGTCCAGGACATGCATCCAAGATAATGATACCCTAAGGAGGGCAGCAAATTAGGTAACTACAGTCTGATCCTAGTTGCATCATGTAGCTGGAACCAGTCCTCAAATCCCCAAAAATCTAGCCCAAGTTCAATAATTGTAAACACAAAATTTCTAACCATAATCCTAATTCAATTGCCCAAGGATTCTCCAACTTTCTACATTGCATTGAAAACCTTCTCTTGTAAACTCTGTAGATAATATCAATAGCTTTTTCATTCTCATAATAACAAGTAAACATCACACCTGTTTCGGCAACTTAATCATGTTCAACATTACACTATAGTCCTATCACCAACTTTAAGGGCCTATTCCAGCAGCATTCCACAAACTAAGCCTGTATGCATTCCTTTCCATATTATTAGTTTAAAATAAATAAATAAATAAACTACCATCTAATGATCAGTTTGTAAAAAAAATCTACTTGAGGATTCCTAAATTTCTACTTCCCAATTACAAAACGAAATCTTGTTTGGTTACACTTAAACTCCTTATGCATGCCTTGCCACAAAAACTCACTAGTCCTATCATCTTTCCACTGCACAAGAGGACTTCCATTATTTCCCACATTTGTAAAGTAGCTCCTTTTTCACGTGAAAATGGTGTAAGCATCCAAGCATGTAAGCAACACCATTTGACCAAAACATAGTAACCGTATCATCTCCTAACAATTATTGCATGAAAAATAAAAGGCGTCCGATCATATATTAATATTTTATTAATCAACTTTTGTACAGAACAGTGAAAGCATCTATAATAAAACTATAACTTAAAAATATTGTGAATCAGACACAGTAATCAAATTGTAATTTTGCAGCCAAATGCAAGCACTTTAGGTGGAAACTGTACTCAACTCATGAGTATACATTTGGCATAATAAACCCTTCTTGAAACATTTAATGGCAAATCATACCATCTCAAAATTCTGTTAGGTTCATTTTTGTTGTTCCAGCTGTTTCCAGAACTTCTGGCATCAACAAAGGCAAATCCTAACAAATGGTAACTCAAAAAAGGCTTTTATTATGGTGGCTGATTGGTTTCTGTAGGGCAAGTTAGGGTGGTTTCAGTTGGGATTTGCAGGGTCTGCATTTTGACAGCAAAAAAGAATTGTTATCATTTTGAAAGGCCAATAACCAATAACGTGTTCTTTTCATGTGACAATGACCAAAACTTTCTTTTTTTCTAACATGAGTACTAAGGATGGTAGCAAAAGAAGGCAGTTACAATAATGGATTGGATCCTATACCAAGTGATGTAGAACCTTAAGTTGTCACACCTAAATTACTTCAGTTCAACTAAAAACTCCAAATATGCTTGTAGAGGCTCCGACCAAAATATAAAATTCCTAAATAACCCTACCTAAACATAAATTAAGTTTCCTACTTACTAAAACGAAGAATAATTACAAAAGAAGCCCTTCTCTCCAAGATGGGCTGGAACGTAAACCTGATCTATGCCTGTGGAAGGCGTATAAACCACATCAAACTGCTCCACTAATAAACAACTTAAACGAAATCAAATCAAAAAGTTCTCCAGAACAGTTTTGTAAAGCAAAACTCAAACTTTTGAAAAAATAAAGGATGACGATAATATCTTAAGTCTAGATGATTGCAATTTTAGGCTACAATCTTCTAAGATAGAATATGTGAAGCAATATCAAGGGAAAAGAACCACAAAGAAAGAAAATATAAAACAAATCATTTATGAAAATTTTGCAACTCAATATACTTACGAAGGGGAATAGATATTCATGTGGATGCACCTTCAAGACAACCGAGTTTTCAAAATGAAAAGTTACATTTGGAAATCCTTCATCCACACTGTAATCGAAACAAAGCATATAAAGCTATAAGTAGATGCTCCTTCAGCCTTATGCCTGGAAAAAATTGTGGGATATATATTTGAGGATGAGAAAATATTAATCAAAGAATTATTTATCATTTTAGTGTTTTACTTTTTAAATATTTGCTATATTTTAATATTCCATCCAACAAATTTGTGATAATTAATTGTTTATAATTCCTATCAATCAAATAAGATTATATCCATTCTTTAGAAAGTACAAATCAAAGAATTCCATGAATTTCATTATAGTACGTCTAGAATAGTCAAATATACCAAGCTGGGGGAAAGTGCAGGGCAAAAAAAAAAAAAAAAAAAAAAAAAAAAAAACTATTACCCATTTGTTCTTAAATTAAATGCTTGTTCAAATGAACAAAAATTGAAATCAACTATTCAAATTACTGCACTTAGACAGACATCAGATTATCAAGGTGGTATGATCTTCTCAAATATACACAGCATTAACATTTAACACATTATGAAGCAGCCGCAAGTTTGCTTTCTGTATGTTCCTTCTGTTATATCAATCAACTAAGATGCTGGTGATAACTAATTAGCACTGAAGTTATAATGAGATGCCCACTAACAAACCAACATAAACACAGAAAAGAAGTGTGAAAGGATAAAACCAGCAACAGTACACCTTCCCACCATTAAAAAGCAGAAAACTTATAATTCCAAAAGATTCAAGAATTAACCCCATATTACATTGGATGAGCATGAAACATAAAAGACATTGAAGATTTAAAACATAATATCATATCTAACATGTATAACATTGTAAAAGCTGAACTGAAATAATGTAAGGCTTGGTTGTCGTCGTTGTTGTTGTACATCAAAATTAATATTTCAATCCAGATGAAAGTTGTAAGCCATAGTATTACACTACATTCCGTACCTCCCAGAATAATGAAAGCATGTATATTCGTCATGTACAGTATGAACTTTCAGATCAGGTTGCTGAGAGAATATCTAATAAGAATATGAAACACATGAGTAGACGATTTATATTGAAAATCTCTAGAAAATGATAAATCCTTTTATATGGTATACCTTACTTATTAATGGATCATAAACCACTTCTGGGAGATAGGCCAAGGTTGTACCACTATCTATTATTGCTCCCTTCCTATCTCCCGCCTCAAAGACTCCTGTTGGAAGATGTAGGAAATCACCACCAACTTGAACTGCTGACATATTGACATTGTAATGGGGCCTAAATGTTTTTTAGCATCAAGACAAAGCTTCATATCAAATTCCATATTACAAGTTGTAGCATAAATGCATGTTTGAGAAGATAAAACTGAATTACTAAGTAATAAAAACTAATCAATGCAGATATAAAGCCAGCAAATAAAACTTGATGAAAATAGACACAAGATGCTATTCATTACAACATGCATTGTAACGGCAATAATAGTGACTTTATGTATATAACTATATTGCTTGGCCTTGGATATGAGCATCCAAATGCATAGGTATTTTGGGTGTCAAGCTCATCTATTTCTTTAAATTTTTCAGATTTTTCCCACTTATTTAAGTGCCAAATTGTCGTGCTCATTTTTGGATAAGGCTACATGAGAACTTTAGTTTTGGATAAGGCTACATGAAAACTTTAGTTTTCATCAAAATGACAGCAGACATAACATATGTAATGTCCTCTTCTACAATTCTGAATTTTATATTTTATATTTTGCTAGGGTTGTTCAAACAATTTTCTATTTTATTTTTCTCCATATAAGGTTGAGTGGTGGATATTATAGGACTTCACGACACAAAATGGTTTGGATGAAGAGAGTGGGAAAGAAGATAACTTTGATCAAGCTGATTCTCCAAATAGAGAATTAATATCGTGAACATTCACAATTCCCCAAGTCAGAAAAAATGAAGACTTGCACCCACCCAATATCTGATGGCAAAAAAGATCTTTATTGGAGGAATCCAAAATGATCATGAGGTGCCTACTATAGACTAATGGCTTGTGTTCATTTAAAGTGGAAAAAAAATCAATGCCTAAAAAGACAAGGTGATGGAACCTAAGCGAATAAAAAGCAGTGACTTTTAAAGTTGTTAAGAGATGAGAAACATCAAAGACGGCTCAAGGAAAAGCGGTTTAGAAGCCATTTCCATAGAATACCTTGTAGAATATGTAACTCTAAATGGAGAAAAGCTATCCATACCGCCAGCCCAAACTAAATTGATAATTAGTTGAGTTGAATACATTTTAACAAACGAATTAAGAATAGAAGCTTACCATAGAGTCATAGACCAATTTTTAAGGGATATTCATTGTCTTTTAAAGTGCATTTGCAAAATGAAAAATTGAAAAGCCCAAAGGTACCTTCCGCACCCGACAAAGAGCTAAAAAATTTAGCGAATCTAAGCATGTACAAGGATCTTGAGATCATTTAAACATATGATCCAAGTCCAACTATCTTTATCAACAAAGTACTTTACTTCCTGGACAATGACTAGGAAATTTGAACCCAAACCATTAGGACTTTTTACTCTTTCATGAACCAAGACAATTCTCTAAGAGTGAGGAACAAGAACAACACATCAGTATGGTAGAAAACTATTTGCAAACAAAAAGGTTAATCATATACAATTTAACTAGAAACCATTTCAAACTTGAAAACATACTCATTTGGTATCAAAGGTGTCATGTTAACAGTTGGTTGCACAACGTGCCCAATAGCAAAGATACCACCTCCATTTATGCCATCTAAGCAATGAGCAAATATCTTTTTCACTTTTCCTGTGGAAGCCAATTGTGAAATCATTGAAGAATTTGATTTTCCCAAACCAAGAATACCATCAAGAGCTTCTTCATTAGTTGAGCCTAAATCCCCTGATTGTCTAGCCCCACACCTATGAGAAAACATTGTGCTCAGCACATTCACATTGATATATAGCAAAAACATATATACTCACTCTCAAATATACACACACATAAATAGGCACTAAAAACTAAGACAAATATACACACGATGACATTCTGTAGATTTATCTATGTGCATTTACACACATGCATACTTCTAGATGTGCAAGCATACACGCCCACACACATACATATGCATAGTCCACCATAGATACATATGCAAGCATAGATATGCGTGCATACATATGGATATACACGTGCACACATATCTTGGTTGGCTACCAAGTCAAGTTGTATAACATATCAATCACCAAGCCTCAAGGATGACAACTAGTGAGAAGGTCACAATAAAACTTCAGCCAAGCCCCCAATAACTTTGTCAGTGTAGAATGCAGCTTACAATATTGACATTAACATAAAACCGGCACAAAGAAATAAACCTGAAAATTCCAATCTTATTGGACCATAGCACTTAGCTAGCAAAACCCTTTCCCTAAATTACAATAACAATAACCCAAATATTTACCTTGATATGAAGTCCTAATGAAAATAAACTACTTAATTTTGCATGATCCAAGCTAACATAAATATCAAAATTTGTAAGTTTATAAATTCAGACATTTTTATAAAATAAAACAATACACTGTATCAGGCATTCTATGTTAAGAAACATAACAAGCTCACCCAAATATAACACTTTCATTTGCCGATGTAGTCTGGAGATCACCTGATACTCTATCATATTGCACAACATCCTCCACAAAATAGCCTGCAGTAGAGCTCCCATCTCCATATATCTCAAGATAAGTACAAGACTTATTTGCAATACAGCCATTTAATGGAACTTCACTTATCTCATAGCAAAATTCGTGATCACAAGGAACCAACTTGCCAGTGATTGAGTCCTTAATATCATACAGTGTAAGATCCATCTGCGAGAAGAAAAAGACTAAATCAGAAACAGGGTAAAAATATGAATGTGAAACAATATGAATATGAATAATATGGTACCAATAGCGATCCGCTCTAAACAAGAAGAAATTGAGAAACATGCAGGAAAATGAAGAAGGAAAGAAAAGAAGCCTACTCCCAGGGTGCTTGTTCTGGGGCAATCTTTACACTGAATGCAATTAACCCACATAATATCGCTTCCAGTATCCACTTGGACATAGTAGTCCTTGGGAGGTGTTCCAATTCCTATCTTAGCATAATAAAGCCTACAAAAATCAGACAGTTGATATACATATATACTGGAATTCATAATTTGTTATAATTCATAAGAAGCAAAACTTCCATGGTTGGAAGTCTGTTATTCTCTAATACACTCGAAACAAACCAAATGAAAGAGAAATGATGAACAATAAACTATCATGTAACAACACAGACATAGTACTGCCAATACCGAGTTAGAACACAGATGGCAAGCAACTGAAACAAAGCAAACATCCATGGTCCCTAAACAAGAATAATAAATAAAATCTACAGAATTTTCGAAAACAAACCCGACACCATCAGGACGACCACTGCCGCCAAGAGGAAGATCGACGCCGGCAAGAATACGGAGCTGACGGCGATCATCATGTGCCTTTAAGTCACTAAGAGAGCGTTCACGGCCAGCGTATCTGTACTTGACGCTGAAGACGCCGCTGTTTGCAGAAACAGCAAAAATAGTAGAGGAAATAACTATAAGTGAAAAGATCATAGTAGAAGAACTTCTGATCGCATCCATCATCGTCATCCTCGACTTCAATTGCTTAAGCAAGGGACGAGAAGAATGATTTGTTATTGCTATGGCAATTTCAGATGAAAGACTTTTCGTTTCCAGAAGAAGGAGGAGCGTTAACTGTGTTAGGGACCCACGTCGTTCCGTACTCGCATTGTCTTGCCGTTGCTGTGACCTGACTTCCAACTGCAGGTCCACTGGCTCCTAACTGCTGAAATTTCTTTTGCATTTGAATGCAAAAAGAAAAGGTCATACCTTATGCTTATCCCAAATTTATTTATTTACAAATGTTCTTGACAAATAAATAGAATATTTTCTCTCCACTTCAAAAATATAAATTATAAATTCTCAAAAAATATATAAATTACAAGGTATTAATTTGCAATGTCCATAGTTATATTACATTAGAAGGTCTTCGTGATACGGGTTGTATAATAATTATATTTTTTATTTCAAAAGATATACATGTTAAGTAAATTATAAAAATTCATTTTTAAGGGAAAGATAGACTACAATTATTATTCATTATAAAATCTTGTAAGAAATTTAAAATGATTTAAATGCTTGATTTCTATTTTTTAGAAATTTATCCAATTGGTAGTATATAATTAAAAAACATATTAAAATATAATAATTAATTCATCATTATATAAAATATTTTTAAATCTTTTTGAATTGCACACACTTAAATACCTACAACAATGAACAAAACTAAACGAAAACACAGAGTAAAAGTGAAAAAAAAAATAAAACCAAATAAATAAAAACAAAAGCAATGAAATGTCACTGTGTTCTTTTTTTAATCAACAATAAAAGAAGAAACCAAAATATTTAATCAACAAAAAAAAGAAGAAACCAAAATAAAAAAACAAAGTTAAGCTTTCAATCATAGAAAGAAATTATAAAATTTATAAATAAAAAAAAAGAATAGTAAACAAAAAGAGTCTCTTGAACTTCCCATGTGAAATATTATTTTAATAACTATTATAGTCGGTTATGTTATTATTTTTTGATAAACAATTATGGATTATTAAATTTGTTAGAAAAATCAGAATCAGAATGTAATTGAAACAATTTAGTAATGGCAAATATCATAATGATATGGAGTAAAGAAACCTATATTTAGTTAATTGTATATTTTAGATATACACAGATAAAGAATATTATTATTGAGCTCGATAATTTGTGTGTGTGTGTATATATAAATTTGTTAGAAAAAATCAAGAATGCAGAATGTAATTTGAGAACAATTTAAGTAAATGGCAAATATCAATAATGAAATGAGTAAAGAAACCTATTATTTAGTTAAATTGTAACCTATTTTTAGATATACATCAGATTAAAGAATATTGAATTATTGAGTCGAAATGTTTGTGTGTGTGTGTATATATATAGTTATATAGTATAATTATATTAATATATAATATATATATATTAAATATAAAACTATTTTCTCATTTATGCTATATATTTTTGAATTGGATAATTTAATTTTTTAAAAAAATAGTTATATATTAATAAAAAGTAGTATATATTAAATATTATATTGATAAAAGGATCATAGAATTCTACTATTTATAATTTAAATATATTTGTATACTATGTTGTTTTCTATTAATATTAAAATAAATTTTAAAAAAAGTTTTATCCATATTAAAATATTTAGATAAATGCAGTGGACAATTTTAATTTTTTTATAGATAGATACCCTCAAATTTTTTCAAAAAATCATAACTAATTTCAGTTATTAACATTTGTACATATCTATTGAATTTTATTATTATATAAAATAAATTTTAAAAAAATAAATTATTTTAAAATAAATATTTAGATAAATGACTGAACTAAATTTAATTTAATAGCATAGATATGGGTTTTTTATAAAAAATTTGTAAATTAATATAGTCATTCTAATAAATTTGTATATATCTATTAATTTTCTATTAATTATTAAATATCTTTTAAAAAAAATAAATTAATAAATTAAAATATTATATAATATATGTGATAAAATAAGTGGAATAAATTTTAATTTTAGATATATAGATTATAGTTGTGAATAAATAGAAGTTCATTAATTATATTTATTATTTAATAATCTGTATTATATTCTTATTATTTTTCATTATTTAAATAAATTTAGAAAAATAAATAATTCAAATTAAAAATATAAAAAATACTGAAGGAAATAGACTGTTTAATTTTAGTAGATAATATAGAATTTTATTAAAAATTAAAAATTCTGCTTAGTTATTTAATAATAATATTATATAATATATATTAAAATAAAAAATAAATATTTAAAAAAATTATGCAATTAAAATAGATAAATAAATGAAGTAATAACTTTTAGAAATAGATATTTTAATAAGAAAATAAAAAAGGCATATAGTTTTTTTGTTATCTGAAAATAAATTTGAAAAGAATAAAGTTATTCAATTAAAATATATAGATAAGTGAGAGAAAAAGGACGATATAGTTTTAACAAAACAAAAGTCATAATTATCTTGTTTTTAGTTTATTTTCAAAAATAGATAGGATAAAAGATAGTGGTATTGATTATAAATTTAAATTAAATTTATAAAATAAATATAAATTAATTTGTAAAAAAAAGTTATATTATCAAAATATGTAATACAATTAGGAAAATTATTAATTGGTAAATATAGTTTTTGAAATTAAAAATGATAATAATTGCTTTCAAAATCTAAATATTTTATAAGTTTCTTCCCTCTTTTATTTTTTTATTTTTGTCTCCAAATTGACATTTAGCTCAAATGGAATAAAGAAAATATTATACATTATAAATAAGAGATGATCAAGACATGGATATAATGATCATGTCCTATATTGATGTTAAATTGAACTTATTATAGTTGAAACATGTATTTACAGGAGTTCGGACATGGAAGAGAATTTGACTATTAAAATGACTCATAAAATGGAAAAAAAAAAAAAAAAAAAAAAAAAAAAAAAAAAAAAAAAAAAAAAGCAAAGACTTTTGAACATTCCTCTACGGCCATCAATGCTAAAAAAAAAAAAAAAAAAAAAAAAAAAAAAGCAAGACTTTGAACATCCTCTACGGCCATCATGGCTTCGTTAACATAAGAGCTATAGAAAATCTTCAAATCCTCAATCACTTTAAACTCCCATCAGGTGCATTCAAACATCCCTCACCATTTGAAAACAAAATGGTGCGACATGAGTTTCAAATTTCTGCAATTCTCTACACGCAAGAGAGCAATAAAAGGTAAAAATTTAGATTCCATAGAACAGATACATTAACACCAACACAAGCAAACTAAATCATTAGTATTAGCTTCAAACAATTCATGCAAAATTTTGCACCACTCTTGCATGTGTGTGCTTTAGAGGTCTCAAAATGAGGGTCCAATTATGGAGCAGCGACTCATAACCTTACTTAAAGCATTTGGCTGCCATCAAACATAGTCTATGCATGGGAACACATCCTTCATCTTGAACAAACACCAAACAGATTGGCTATATAAAGTTAATTTATCTGAAAGAAAGTTTATCGCCTAGTTTATCATGATTAATCGTAAGTGTTATTGGAGGTAAAAACTCAGCCTCCAGGAAGTGCTATCAGAGGTGAAAATGAAAGTAAACACAATTAATCACCAAAAAAGGAGAAAAATACATTGAATTACCTTTGAATTAGTACATTCAAATCAAAACCTAATCAGATTTGGGTATAAAAAGGTTAAAATAAAATTATCAATTGGTTAAAGAACTATAAAAGCGCAACCCTAGAATACAATAGATCAATAAGAAAAAGAAGAAATTGAATAACCTTTGGCTAGATGGTAAGCAATAGTAGCATGAAAGGAGAAGAAGATGATATATGGAGGACTGGAGATTTATAGAGGTCGGGATTCAAGAATTTGAGACTGAAGAGGTAACTAAGGTGAAGAAGCAACTAGGGGGAATAGATAATGAATAATTAATTAAGATTGTGAGAGTTAATGGATGATAGATAGGTACTAATTTTTTTAAAAAAAATAAGTAATTAATTAGAAAAGATTATGAGAACCAATCAAATTTAAGTAAAATTATAAAAAACTAGAAAAATTCTTAAAAAAGAAAAATGGAATGCTGAACAAAGCAAGAGAGTTGAGATTTCTCTTTGTTTTAACTTTCATATAAATATATAGATATGATGATGTATCAATGTTCGAATGAATAAATGATAAATTTAGTATTTGAACTTTCAATTTTTCGTCAAATTAGTATTTAAAACAGAAAATCTTAATAATTAGTTGGTTGAACTTTTTAAAAATACCAATTAAGTGTCAACTTATAATCTGGCAACTGAAATTCTGATTCAACATAAGGTGGGGCCTAATGTCTAATCAGCATCATACGTGGACTTACACCACATTATTGATTGAGACCAACACAAAGCTAATGTGGCAAATAGCTTGAATGACTTATTTACCCTTATTTAATGAAGATTTATATCCAGAAAACTACTCATCTACCTCTCCTTGCTGCTTTTCCACAAAATTCTTCATTTCGATTCTTTCCTTCACCTACTTTTCTTGCTCTCGTAAATTATTTTCAATTTTTTAACCTTTTGAATGTCAACTCTTCTCTTCAAGCATTTATGGTTTGCTTTTCATTTTTATTTTAATTTTAAAAATTAACCGTTGATGTGTATTATAGAGTTCTTACATATTAATGCAAATTAGTTTGTGAGAAGATTAATATAGATACATAGGTTTTGATATCAGTGAGTATTTTTATTTTCTTAATTTATTGATTTTTTTAATTTGAAAATAAAGAGGAGAAAGGTGGGTTTCCTGTGAATTTTGTTTGTTTTATTACTTTACTCCAAAACATAACCCATTGCTTTTTGTATATCTCTCTTTGGGTGTTGGTCCTGTAACTAGTTTGATCTTTAACCATTTCATTCACTCCCTCCGATCTTTTTATATAGGAAAAAGTTTTCATTTTGAGTGTTCTTTTTATATAGAAAATTTTGCATAATTTGGTAACTTTGGGAACCATGCCGATGTGAAAACTCTATCTTACCCTTGTTTTAGTCCTTTGGTGAAGCTTTTAGTGTGGAAGATTCTCAAGATAATGGTAGACAAAAGTATAGATGAGCATTTAATGTGAATAAATTTTGGTTAACATTTACATCAATTTCAATTGTAAAAAAAAAAAAAAAAATGCTCATATAGGTTATATGGGCACCGATTAAAAATGAAGTTTGAATAGAAAAA